GGGATGCAGCGATGCCAATACTAGTATCAGGTATCGAGTCCAGTACCACCCTCTAGTACTCTGCTCATACTGGTAAAAGTTGTCCACCAATACCAATTAATGGCAGCGTTATGTTAACCTCACACTGGCTGAGTCGGTCGTTAGGTGGCAGAGAAGAAATTTTAGTGGTTTGGAGATATTTTACGATAAGTGACGACAAAAGTTCTCGTGTGTGCGCGCGCCTCCCTCCCTGTTGCACACAGGCACCAGGTCACATTTTACACAATGTCAGCACTCATTATGTGCAACAAAACCAACAGTATCAGAGTAATTAATCACACACCTGTTGAACAGAACAACAGACTTGCCCTGCCTGGCCCCATTCATTCCGTTAGAACCACCACGGTGCTCATTATGCTGATTGTAGTGAACTGTTGTGAATGGGAAGAAGATAAACTCTAATTTTATGTAGTTAACAGCGACATCAAATGAGCTGTGTGTATGAAAACAGGTTGTAGACTTGGAGGCTGAGACCAGTAGCTCCTCTACAGCGGTGCAGGTGTGTGTGTCCAGCAGAGAGGACAGGATGGAGCCAAAGACAGTAGCCAGATAAAAATAAGAGTGTGCAACCTCATTAAAGTTAAAAATTAAACATTTTCACTGTGATAACATGCACTCCTAAACTGTGATGTTCTGGTCAGGGTTTGCAAAATCATTACATCCTACAGGGTCACAACTCCTACAAAATAGAGTCCACTGTATTACACTATGTTGTGTAGCAGGCTGCAGACATTCAGTCAGGTGCACGTTATTCAATAGGAATGGTGGCAGTGCTGTGTTTATCACAATGTTTTCAGCTAATTTGCTCAGCCTCCTGTTACATAAGATATTCTGTTTAATCACTATCAGGAAGTAAATCTCATGAAATTGCCATAAGGCTCAATGGTCATAAGGACTAGTTATACAGATAAAATATCATCATAGGTTAATGTATATCAATTAAAGGAGAGGTCTACACCAGAGGAGCTTGTTATTCTAGGATGTGATCCCCATTTTACATCACAGCCTTACGTCATTAAAAGTGTCCTGGAAATTTTTTTCTTGAGTGGGAACCCTGACTAACATTTTACACATTGTCTGATAAATGAGGTGAAAAAAGGGGCATAGTTGTGAGACTGCCATGATGTGCTTATTAGTCAAGATTAGATTTAATCAAGTTGTCTTTGTTATAACTGCTCCATTGGCAGTTGTAGCAAAATGGGCTAAATAGTCTTTATAATAAGAGCGATAGGCTCTAGGGAACTGAGTAGTAACCCAGTGGTTTTGCAGACTATAAATGTCAGTGGATAGTTTGTTTAAATGCAAAAAGGCAATGTTTTTGTTGAGCTAAGAAAAGGTGGTAAATATCAAGATACAGTCCAGCCTAATGTAACTATTTAAACGATTCATTTTTTTTATATAGTTCATATCTTGATACGGTGTGGGACACGTTGATTGGCTATTGTACATGATTAGCTGCTAAATGAGTGAACTCCCTTTGTTGTTATCCACGCGTGGTGTTGTGGAGTGTATCACGTGTTGGAGTGACAGCTGTCCTTGGTATAGGCACTGAGGGGTTGCCAGTTGGGAACCCCCTCCTTCGGGGCCCTGTTCAGTCTCAGTCTTCCGCTCCCTCCCTCCTCTGCTTCGCTTGTTTGGTATTCTGAGCGGGGTGTCTGCACCCTTGCAATTTCACTCTTGTTTATTATGGCGCACACATAGGAGGAGAGATGAATTCTGTACCCTGCATGCGCGCCTGTCTGCCTCTGTGTGTGTCTGTTCGTGTGCGCTTCTGTGAGGTCGCAGCACATGCTCAGTAGTGTCTGTGGAGAAGCGAGCCGAGCTTGCGCCGCTGTACGTGCAGGCTGAGGTCACAGCACAAGCTCAGTGAATACCTCTTCGGAGCGAATGCGTGCTTCTCCATTTTGAGAACCTAGAAATAGGTGTGAGAGGGGAGTTAATTCCAACGAGCATTATACAGTCAGTGTCACCACCCAAACCTTAGGGCTCGATGTCAGAAATGGACGATTTGTTCAGTCCACGGAGGTAGGTTTGCGATCATATTCTCGTGCTTTGTCGTGTCGTTATTAATTGCTGCGCGACTGTTGGCTCGTCTTATTTTTGTGACTCACGTTGCTGCTGTCTGACAAAACTGTGTGAGGTCTGCAAGCTGTCCGCATTGCTGTCATTATGTTAACCGGCTGTGTTTGTGTCGGGGGAGCACGAAAGCGAGTCTGCACATTGTGTCAGGAGCCGGAGAACTGAATGCTGTAGAACAGAGCAGGGTGTCACTGCATATCACATACCGTTACGCGTTTGCGCTACCATAAAAGCAATACCGTGGTATCACGCCTTGGCTCACATATTATCATACAAGTCCCGACAAATGCATAGTGTTTGCGATGCATCCGCAAGCATTAGGCCGATAACTGTGCGCCCGGCATGTTTGTAAGATGGCAATGAGACGCGGAGAGGCTACTCGTGGCTCCATTTTGCTGCTCCTGTTTACAGTCGGGCTGACATGGCGTGTGGAGCAGCGCCAAGGCAGCACACAAAGCTCAGCCGGCTCTGCTGCCAGCTGTGATGTGTACACGCTGCATATCCTGGTACTTCAACGCCATGAAGTTGGCTGTTTTTGCTGGGCTGCAATTATGTCAGTGTGCCACAGGCTCGCGCTGCGATTGGCTGAAATTGATGGAGGGGGCGGGGCTATCACTGATTGCATGCACGCAAAGTTGACCAGACTGTCACGTTGTTGTTTGGGTTTAATAAGTAAGCCTGTAATTACTTGAGAAGATTGTGTGCTAATGGTGCGTTAGATCTGAGCTTGTGTACCAAAGGGGCGTATTTTCTATTGTCTATTTTGTTGCAACAGGATTTCAGCAGCATATTATAGGAGAAAAATTAAATATTATTACAAGGCATAGTATTATTACTAATATTTTGAGCACAGCAGCTCGATTCTTAATTTGACTTTATCCATATTGATGATCTGCAAATTACAGTACACGTTTCAGAGGAGTTTTTCACATTTGTCTACAAGAAATTGGAAAAAAAAATGTCTGTTTTTTTTGTGTGTGGGAAATATCGGTATTAATAAATGCCTAATTATATCACATGCTTTAATTACTTTGCTTGTTCAGTAGGCTGTTCCCGTTTGAGAATACATGCAGTCTGTATGGAATCTCCCATGAGTTTACTGCTGCAGTGCATTCTGCCTCTCAGGACCTGTGCAGCATTTCATCTGAATGTCGACCATCTGCTCTCAGGATTTGCCTGAATAAAACACGGTTGTCTTCAGACGCGCTGTTCCTTTTCTGGTGCACAGGTCCTCATTTGTCATCCTTACAGCCTCCTGCCAAACATACCATGGACCTGGCTGACCGCACACTGCCAGGAATACTTCTGTAGAACTTTGTCTCAGACCAGATTTGTACTCATTTAGTATATCCAGCAGTTTTAACCGTCCAGCATTGTAGATACACAAGTGTGTTAGAAGAAAGTAGAGTAATGCATTTCTTTGTTTTAAGGGTCATTCATCTCTGGTAAATCCAGATATAGATATTGGGTAATTCTGTTATTTGTAATATCTGTTTCAAAAGTTTCAGTTAAATGATGCCACAAGAAACCTAAATGGGGACTGTTATAAATGTTATTAAATTGTCATGACACCTTTTTAAGATAGTACGTGAAGTGCCGATGACCCAGTGAACTACCATATTTAATTGTTATTGGCATTATTCATGGATTTGGGTTATTGTAGGCTGCCAAGATCAGATTGCTGTACATTTAGTTTCTTATTTGCTGAGGATGTTTGTAATAAAATGAGTTATTTTGACGTGTGTTGGAACAGCATATTGTCCCAGCAGGCCCAGGCTCATTTATTACAGCTGGAATTTAGCTTTTGGCCGGTGCTGATGCGGTCTGTGCCAGTGCTTCTGTCAGCCATAGTTCATAACAGTATGGGTTACCCCTTTAATTACTCTCTCCTGTCAGAGGTGAAGGTCTGTTAAGAAAGGGAAGTTGGGTCAAATCTGTACCAGTCATGGTTTTTGTGGTTGGGGGGGACTGTAAAAAGACCAGAGGGCTGTGGCCTCTCAGGTTTCCACCAGGTCTGCATGGTGGAGTGCGAGCTTCTCTGGGTGCAAATCACGCTGACAGATTCTGGGCCGCCCCACGCTTGGCTGTATGAAAATCGGTGCTGTTACCTAGGCAACAGAGGGAAAGGCTTTTCAAAAGGAACATCTTGTCATTTTCTTTAATCCACTGCAGCTGGAGATTCGAACACTATTATTAAATTGCAGTTGCTATGGCTACCAACATTCGTACCAGCAGCTCTCGCCCTGCATATCCTTCGCCAGCTCCCCCACCTTCTCCACCCATCCTCCTCCTGCTTTTAGGGGATCCTGTTTTATTGCTGCATCCACAATATCAGGCCTGCAAATGCGCTCTGCTCAACTGTGCAAGAGCAGTCGACCAGGAGTATTCATCTGAGATCTTTATGAGCTTTTCAGAATAAAATACAGCGTACATTTCTCACATGTGACTAGCCCATAAAGATTTCCACAATGGAAAGTAGAAGCCTCATCCCTTTTGGTCTGTATTTGATCTTATCATGGTCATGAATTGTTAGTTTCTGACATTTTCTTTCTTCCCTGCTTTGAAGCTTCACTCATTTATGATACCCAGTTGTGACTTTGTAGTTTGTGCATTTTTTTTTTTTTTTTTAGCTGATTCAACAGGCACAGTGCTGACGGACTTCTTTCAGCTAGCTTTGAAGTGCTGCCAAGTAAATATTTTGTTTCAATCTGCTGTCTTTGTCTCTTTCCAGACGTCTAAACAGCACACAAGGGGAAATCCGAGTGGGACCCAGCCACCAAGTAAGTCATTGTACAACACAGGCAGCAGCTGACTTGACAGACTTCTCTGGGTGCTGGTGGTTTTATTGTTTAAAATGAAGTGCATTGAGTTTGTATAGCTCTTTTCACACATGAGCTCCCGACTGTGTCCGTGGAATCAGGCCTGGACTTTGTTGAGAGTTGCCCTTTCACACATGTAGTACATAACAGGAGGTGTTCCGTGTCAGATGTTTTCTCACCTACTGGAAATATGGGACATGACACGGCCACGTAGCCAGTTTGTAATTTGGTCATAAACAACTGAGTCTCTTGCCTTGTCTGACAATTCTGGCATTGACTTTTAACAAGAGAAGTTCCTGAATCTCATCCAGTTAGATATTTATGTTGGCGTCTTCATTATAAATGTTTTTCTTCCCCATTGGATGTATTCTTCTGGTTTTGTGATGATGATAGAATGTTTGATGATTGTTATGATAGAATGTCATTCACACGCCCACTAGCTCCGTGTGAATACTCCAGATTATACGCTGCTGTTTTCTCACAGGGGCTTACTCCAGCTCACTCGGACCTTAAGCGGACTTTGCACTAGGGAGTCGGCAGAGTAAAGTCTGCTTAAGGTCCAGGCTAGCTGACTCCGCCATTTGTATTCTCACACACAGCTCTCCCGTGTAATGTCGAGAAAATTTCAGGGTTCTCGTGCATTGTCTAAAGAGGGCTTTACGAGCAACACTGAATTCTCCCTTATAAATATTGTACAGTTAGAATTTACTACATGGTTTATAATTGATTATTGTGTAGTTGTAAACACTTGTATTTGCAACTACATTTAAAAACATTTTGTTGAATGTTTTTATCCTATTATGAATACTAAATGGCGTCTTAAAGTAAACTGTTTTGATCTTTTAGAGAAACATTAACATCATTTGACCTGAGCTTTTATCAAGCTATATTGTAGCTTGACATAATATTTGTGTATATCTGAACATCAAACATGCTTGAGTTTTCATATATCAGCAAGTTATGTTTCCTCCAAATTTAGAGTATCCACCTGTATTTGGAAAAAAAAAAAGCTGAACATCTTCAGACAGTCCTGTCAGTCAGGCAGACCTGCAGCAAGGACAAAGTCATCCGAGTAGTGCAGCCATGTGTTGTATTAAGCTATTGAACCACTGTGACCTTAAGTTGTCCTCATTCTTCACTGCCACCACTTAGCCACACAGTGAAAAGTTGGTGACAGGGAGTTGAAAGCTGATATTTTCTTCAAGCTTGCATGCTATTTGTAGTGTGACACCATATGTCCATCTGCTTCTTAGGCCAAGCTCCCAGAGCTGCAGCCTTTCCCCTCTCCTGGTGGCCAGGCTGTGACCGAGAATGAGGAGCTGGTCTGGATGCCAGGGGTCAATGACTGTGACCTTCTCATGTACCTCAGAGCCGCAAGGTGAGCCCAGAGAAAAGCAGGAATTCAGACGTGGCAAGGCTGCAAAATTTGCAGTGTCTAACCTGGTAGAAAGCTGTCACCATTTAGGTTAAAGAAGGATGTAACCCCCCCGACACCTTAGTGTAGTTGCATTAATTCAGCCTATAAAGTAATAAGAAGAAATCAAACTCGGCGATAAACTAGTCTTCACATTTTTGTTAAACATCTACAGAAGAGCAGTAGCTTTGGTTTTTGTAACCAAGCGGAGTCAAACCAAACATCTGGAATTTCCGGACAGTAGAGTGCAGGGATAGACGCTAATGTGTACACCGCAGTAGGTCTACATTACACTGTTAAATGTTATATTCCAGCCACTTAAATTCCTTCTTCCCTTCACTCGTCATTGCAGTTTTTTCAAAGGCCGTGTTTTGTGTTTCTTGTTCTTCTGCAGTGATCGTGTTAGAAGTTTGATTCAGTGTAGTAAAGACATACTTCAGCAACCCCGACATAACTGCCGTTAGCCGGTCACAAGTAGCCTTATTGCTTGCTGTTTTTGTAGAATATTAAATTAAAAGGTGCAAATGAAACAGGATGTTTGTGGAACGTTAACATAATGTTGGCGAAATGCAGGGGGCCTGAGACACGGGATCTCATTCTGAGTAGAAATCTGATAAAGCATAGTGGCCACAGAGTAGCTTTTTATGGCCAAGGGCCATCGCGCCATGGTTAATGATGAACCCTGGACTGGTATTTTAATGCTACTTATTAGTATTACACTTCTTCAGCTTTAGTTTCATGTGATGAAATCATTCATCACTGCTCCCTGAGATGTTGTTACAGTGGAAGTGATTTGTGTTAACAGGTTTCTGGCTGTGCTGTGTTGCTGTAGGGGGCTGCAGTGTAATTAATCACAATCTGTCACTGTGACGGACTGTTCCACTGATGTCATTTTTTTATCCATCGTATTTGCTTTCATGCGTACCAGTATTATATAGGCATCTACTGTGCTGTATTTGCATGGATTACAACAATCTCAGTATACCTTTTCAGGTGTTTCCTCTGGCTGAATCAAGTGTGCATACAGGCAGCATCAGATTTGCTTTTTGTAATGAAATCAAAACTTTGCTTTGACTGTAGTGTAGTAAATATGATTATTAATATATGCCTCTTGCACCAGATGCACTGACTACGATAGGAGAGGAGATGTTGAGCAAAAAGAAAAAGTATACTGGTGTGGTTCAGGCCTCTACCATATTTCTGCTTGTTCTGTTGCTGGTTTGTCATTCTCACTTCCACACTCATCTATAAAACATCAGACAGCTGTGGAAAATGTCCATATACAATGTCTGACCAACAGCCCAAGGCCCAAAACCATTTAATTTATTATAATGTGAGACCTGGAAAAGCAGCATAGTCTGCCTTTTGAGCATCTGGAAACATCAAACATTTCTACTTAAAAATTTGTTGTGATCAGTTATTTAAATATTTTCCAGATAATTTAATGCCAAGTCACTGAAAAGTGCTAGTTCATCTTTATGTTTGGCTGCTTTCTCTAACCATTTTGCTACACTTTGTATAAAAAAAAAAAATTATTTTATGAAATTATGTGAGGAGCCATTGTTTTTTTTTTCTTCCGGACATGAAAGAACATTTGTTATTACTCAAACTTTATAAGTTTGGTAAATGATGGGGAAAAATGTGTTGAGGTGATGTCTCCTTGTTGTCATCTCTGTTATAAGACACGGTTTCAAAAGACGCACCTACATGGCGTTGAAAGTCAGTGTAGTGATATAGTAGCAGCTGTGTAGCCATGTGTCTGTGGGCCTTCCGATGTTGATTTGATCTGTGTTGCCTACAGGAGCATGGCCGCCTTTGCAGGGATGTGTGACGGAGGCTCAACAGAAGACGGGTGTCTAGCAGCCTCTCGAGACGACACTACATTAAACGCACTTAACACTGTAAGTAGCCATGCAACAACACAAATCAGGTGTGCATTAGAAGACAACACTGAGATATCTGAGCTACAAGTATTCCACTGATATTTGAGTTATGATGCAGCTCTTCAGGGATGGGCAATGATAACGCCCCTGAGCCAGTAGAGTAGCCCCCTGGAGTAAACCCAGCCTTAGAAGCTTACAATACTATAGGAGTAATGAGCAATTTGTCCATCACATTGACAGTGAATACAGAGGAATCAAGCACAAGAAAGATTAGAATCATCATAAACAGGGCATTTATATTCTGACGCTATAAACTGGAAAATGAACATAGCAGGCAGGTCATTGTCTCTCGACCTTCCTCTCTATTTGCAATTCCAATGAGTGATGCTTGTTTATTCTCAGAGGAAGAGCCCCAGCGCTGCCTATTTCACCCAACTGAATGTGACACAGGGCTTAAAGCTACACAGCCCTCGCCTTTGTCACTGTTTCTTTCTTCTTTTTTTTTTTTATCCATGCTGGTTTTTGGTTCTTTGCACAGCATTTTTTTTAATTCTCTGGTTTGGGCTTAGATTTCTAGTAAAAATAAAATCTCCATGTATTGTATATCATTTCAGTAAAATGTGTCAGCACACCTCTAAATGTCAGTGTGTGTTACTGTGAAGAAACCTGGCATATTAAAAATTCTATCTTTTAATATATCCATGCCTTGTTTTATGATCAGAATTGTGTGCTGTTGTGACTGTCTGCAGCTTCACGAAAGCAGCTATGATGCAGGCAAAGCTCTCCAGCGCCTGGTTAAGAAGCCGGTACCCAAGCTGATAGAGAAATGCTGGTCTGAAGATGAAGTGGTAAGAGAACCTAGCTTTTAATTTTGAAATGCATTAGCAAAAATCCCTGTTGGAAAAAAGGTACAGCTGAAATACATGGCAAATTAATAATTTAGTCTTCTTTATGTTTGTTGGTATTATGCCTGCTGTCTGTCAGAGCTGAGGTTGTGTCTTTAGAGGGAGCTGTTGAGAAGGAGTTAACACAAGGCTCTTGGCACGGTCTCACAAGACATCAGTAAAAACTCGCCAGTTTCCAGCTCCTCCAAGGCTCAAGAGCAGCTGCATCCTGTTTATCACCCACAGAATAAATCTTTAGCATGGCTGTCTGGAAAGGGGAAAGACTGAGGGCTGGTAATGTTAGCCTCCATTTGAATTGTGATGTGATTTTCACCACAGCTGTTGAAGGGCTGGAATCAGAAAATGGCAGCCCCTCTCCCCTGACCAAACACCACATCATGAGTGGGTAGGAGGGGAATGAAAGCGACTGGGAGCTGCGGTTTTAGCCTTGATGCTTTATGACACACTGCACTACATGTTTGTGTACCCACCCCCCTTTAAAGCCAATACTGCCTACTGATCTGAATGTGGGTCTTAGAAAAACACACAATGCTCCACCACTCATTCTTTTCTTAGTTTTTCCCCTCTTCCTGGGTGAATCACCCTTTTTCCACCTTGATACTCTTTTGTAACACTGGAGCTTTTCAGTCTTTGAATTCCGAAGCTCAGATCCGGTGGAAGTGAACGAGTGTGTTTGTCATGTAATTAAACATGATGGCCACATTTTAATAGAGTCAGAGCCCACAGCAGGGCCGCAGCGACTCTCAACAAATTAAGTCAGCCGTTCTTTTGTGGACTAGTTATGAGATCGCCTTTATTTATGCATGCTTGCTGTCGCCAGGCTAAACTGCTGTGCCGAGATGATCAGAGCAGGGGACAGGCTTGTTGATGGGAGGCTTTGTTGCCACACTCGACCCCAGCAGGTCTACCACAGACCTCTTGTCAAAGAAGCACAGTAGAGGTTCGACAGCAGGAAATGTTAATAACTCAGTTCAGACAGTAAGGTGGTTGCTTCCGTGATTCATTTAGGCTTTTTTGAAAAATTGTGCATTAGTGTTATGTCTGTAATGATAGATATTATTGTGGTCCTGAGGTACTATTGAACTTAGTAATGCAGTCCCTAAACAGCAAGAACATTTTTTTTTGTCTTACAGACAAAATCGGCTTATGATGTCACAGTATGGCCCAATTGATACCAGATATTTGATTCTTGTTACCGATATTGATATTGTATGTGGCAGTTGAAAAAATTCCATAGCTGTACACCAGCCAATAGTGATTTGTTTTAACATAAACACATTACATTAACAAGAAATCTTGATCCATTCCCCTTTTGTAAGCATTGTATTGCAAGATATGTAGAAAAATCTAAAAATGATCTAGTCAGTGCTCTCTGGTGGACTGATGCCTTCTTTCTAAATTTCCTTAAGCGTAGTTTGGTATTTCTGTGCTGAAATTTCTTGTTCTTTGCCACTATATAAATTAACACAAATATATATATTATATGCAGTAAGATAATATTGGCTTGGCTGATTTATTGTTCTACCTTCACATCACAATTTAGAGAACATGAAAAATTACATATAAAAATGATCATATTGATGTCTTCTGGACATTTGTTCCACTGTTAATTTACATCTTCACACATGTAAACAAAACTTTAATAATGCTTCTTGTTAGTTTTTAATAAGTGTTTTGCTTGTGATATGGACAGCAGAGTGTTGTTGTATGATCATATTATGATTTCACCTAAAGAAGATATAAAATAATAATAGAATTGTGGCCCAGCCCTGAATCCTTAGTCCATGTAATGTTGTTTTGTATTTTGAGTCCAGGCAACTGCACAGTGTAATATAACTGAAATGGAGGAACTGTGAGGGAGTCTGGGTGTGGTATGTACCTGAAGGTGCAGGCTGTCAGTCGGTTGTGGGGCAGAGTCTAGAGCCTTAAGAAGCAGCGTCTTGATTCTGAGACTGGCCTAGGACACGGCCCCCAGCGATCTGATCAGCATTTGTGCCTTTTCAGGCCAGCAGCCTTGAGGGACAGGTGTAAATGTAGCTGCAGCCCAACTCAGTCACAGAAGTCAGCCCTTCTGCTCTTCATTTATTTATCACCCTTCACTCTGCCTCTCTCCTTCTCTCTCTTTCCTCTCATCCCCTCCAGGACTAGCTTCATTATTCCTGCCTGCTCTTGTTTTCTACCCTGTCCCTCTGTCGTTTTAGAGATGTGAATAAAAGTGATAGCGTGGACTGCTGAAATGACAGAATCAGCCTGTCTGCCAGGTCACCCTCCCTCCACCCTGTGATGTCTCTTGCCTCGCCCTACCTCTCCTCTATCTGCCTGCTGCTGCGTAGTCATGGTCCTTGTCTTTACTCTCCTCTTCTAGGATAGTAGTTTTCCTTTTTCCCCACATACATCCCACAGCAAAATGACTGCTTCTGCGGTCATATCAATTTCATTACAGCTGTGGAGGAAGTGATGGTGCTGCAGAGCAGAGGGGTTGGATCATTTTATTGCCCTCTAGCTGGCACAGAAAAATTATTTCATCCCAGAAAGATTTGTGACAGACGACCCCCAAACAGTCTTTCACTGTGAGATTATTACTACAACTTTGAGAAATTGAACATCCATCACTTCGATGTGAGTACCACTTAAACTGTCAGCAACATGATGACTATAGATTATATCAAAGAAAAATATCAAATCTCTGAAGTAAATGAAAATAAATGAATAAATATTTCAGCAGAAACATCCAGAGTCCACCCCCCTCGTCACAGTGTGCTCAGCAGCCGTTATTATGGGTGGGTGAACCTGTTTCAGTCAGACATGGATCAGTTCTCTGCTTTTTCTGAAGTCTGAGAGCAGCAATCCCACTCCTTTATGTGCGTGTTTTATCAGCAGCCAGATCAATACTGACTGCCCACACAGATCTCTCTTCTCATTTTGAGCGTGCACCCGTCTCGACTGCAAAAATAAACTCTCTCACACTAGGAACAGAAAGCACCTCAAGTAAAAAACCCATAGGTTGTTAAATGTTTCTCCAACAAAATGGCAATAATGTTGCAGCACAGAATAGTTCTTCTGTCTAAATAACTAGCATGAAATCACGATTAGCTGACAGGATGTGATCATCGGCAGTCTCTGCTTTTCAGATCAGAAAAAAATCCTGTTACATCTTGTTACTAAATGAACAGCTTCTGGTGACTGAACCTTAAACCGTTGTTGGCCACTCCTGACAGCTTTCCGGGCAAGAACAGGCACATGTTTCTGATTAAATGCTTGCACACACTTCACGTTATAAAATAAAGTTGTGGCTCAGAGGCTGTGCAATCCTTAGTGGTTTATCCACATGTTAATTCTCAAGATGGGAGCATTAAGTAGCTGAACAGATAACTGGACAGCATTAAAAAAAAAAAAAAACTATATAGCTATACATACTTTTGCTGCAAGTGTTGTGTCAGCTTTAGGTATTGTTGATTCAGTTTTAATTGTGAAGTATGTTGCATCACAAATTTCATCATACTCTGTTGATGTTGAGTATCAAATGGATTTCATGCTAAAAGTCATTTAAATTTATTGTAGTCAGAAGCATTCAAAGTGTTATATCCTGTGATGTATTATTTGCATCTGGCCTGCCTGCAGCCCTGTAAAGAAATCTGCACATGATGCTTCTGTCTTTTCCTGATTGTAAATATGTGGTGCTAATAATGCACAGACCAACAGGAGGTGCCATATAAATAATCAGAAGTAGCAGCAGCCATGCTGTTTGTCCCCATGTCATGAGGCAGAGAGGCTGATGTATGACTGCTGTGGGGTGGGAGGTCTGTTCCTCAGCCAGCTGCACTGTGCCATGGCTTATCTCCGGCTGTGTCTTCAGCTGATGGATGACTGGAGCAGGCTGACGGCAGCACCATGGTGTAAGTGGAGGGAGAAAGAGGAAGGAAAGAGTAGCAGCCCCCCAGTGGTAGAGCACAAATCTACAGCCCTGACACACACAGGCTCCTCACGTCACCTGCCTCAGGCCGTCAATTGTTTTAAAGTTTGATGAGGTGCTTGACTTCAGAAGTCATGGTCTGCAGAGGGAGCTCTGTTTACACCGAGGGTTTAGTGTCAACACTATTTTATCACTGTTACAGTACAGTGCCAACAGTGCTTTTTAGTAACTGAATAGCAGGCAGGATGGGTGTGTGCTGGAATTTCCTGTCACCTTTTGTGTCAGTTTAAGCTACAGGAAACAGAGGATTTTCATTCTCAAAGGTTGGAAAATCTTGTTTATTACTGTGTAAGTACAAAACAGGACTTCTGCTCTGTCAAAGAAAAGTTATAGCTGCAGAAAAATATTTTTTTTATTTAGAAGGGTTTCTAAGAAAGGGGTATATTGCTCCTTTAATGTCTGTGTACAGTAAGTGTTGGCATATCAAAACATTGATGTGACTTTATGGGTTCAGTGCAAAGAGGATGTGGGGAGTCTAGTGTCTGTCATTGCGGTTCTCTCTCTACCGTTCAACCTAGTTGTGATTTCCTCTCTGCGCACAATGGCCAATCTTATTACGAGCTGATGTTTTATAACAGACAGCAGTGTTTTTTCCCCTTTGGTTTTGGCTAGCTGACTGATTGCCCTCGGCCCTCTGGGTTTATACACAGCAGGCTTGAAAAGGTCAGCTTTTAACAACGAGTCAAGTGTAATGACTCCATATTGAGTGAAAGTGGCTTTGTTTGCTGTTGGACGGTCTTGCGTCAGTGTTTTCAGGGAATGGCATTTAGCAGGAATTATGTTCCATGTGTGAACCTACACTTTGTTTGAAATCATGATACAGTCGTTGTGCATATGCCCGCATTATCTTAACTGGTTTTACAAGTCCCAGCAATCAACTCTCAAGCAGGAAGTGCGCACACACAACAATGGCCTATTGAATAATTTTTTTCTTGTTCTCCTCCTCCTTTTATAACTCTCCTCTCCAGCTTCACAATAGCGCACTGTTAGGCTCTGAAGGAAAACTTGGGGCGGGTGAAAAGCGCCAGCTCTCTGGAGCACACTCGGAGAGAGAAGCCTGTTGTTTCTGCACAGTGGATGGCCATTTGATAGTACTTCCACCCAGCCCCCCCCCCCCCGCCCGCCCCCCCCGCCCCCTC